GGTCAGGTGTTCTGGCTGTCTCGCAGTGCTGTTTTTGGCTGATGTGCCTCTGAGAAGTTCAGATGAGGTCAGGTTCAGTCTAGCTGTGAGTTTGCAGCTTTACAAACCCTTGTTGACAGACGAGTCTGCCTCCATTAAAACCAATGGTCTTGCTGTTGGTTTTAAGGGGAGCAGGAGCAAGTGACTAACATGTTTTTTTAACCTATTTTCTTTTGCTAAGGGCTCTCTCATTCATTCTCTGTAATTCTTTGATAGGCAGTGTGTAGATAGAACTGGGTCCAGAGGCAGATATTTATGTTAGTTATCCAGTTATTGGTGCAAAATACAGATACCAGTACTAATAAATGTATGTGAATTGTCTCCTATTACCAGCCAAAACACAGCATAGTTGGAGCTGGAAGGCCCTGTAGGTCTCTCAGGCCTGGACCTGGTGATGAATATATATTAGTCTAAGCCTTATTTTTCTCTAGAATTTAATTGACACCAAGACTTTGGAACGGCCTTTCCCCTTCCAAAGTTTATCATTTCCGAGTACCGTCCAGACACTGGATTTCTTTAAATGTCCTTATGTTCCCCTTGCCCTATGACTGTCCAATTTGGTATCCAGAAGCCCTCAGAGGTCTCTGGTGGCCTAGACTGGCATCCTGCCACTGATGAATTAGGAAGGTGTTGGTTAAAATTTCCGAGCCGTAGGCACAGGCTTCAATCTTCCATAATGTCATGTAAACACTTTGGAGAAGACGGCTGGTCTTCGTGGTTAAGGCATTAGATTGAGAGTCTGGAGAAACAGGCTGGCTTCTCTGCTCTCCCAAAGACTTGCTCAGTGACCTTGAGACACTTATGCCTCAGTTGCCCATCAGTAAAAATGAAGCTAGTAACACTTCCTTTCTCCCACTCTTTTGTCCTGTCTGTTTAGAGGATGTCTTTTGTTGTCTGTATGTATAGCACCTAGACTATTAGGCCTCTAGATGCAGCTGTAATACAAACAATAAATAATACAAAAATTTACTGAGGCTCTCAGTGCTGTGTAGAGAGTTGAATAGATTTCTAAGGCCAGAAGAGACCATTAGGGATATTACTGCTTAACCTGTTAACCAGTTAACTTAGGGCCTCTTACCTGGCCCACTGCGGATGTGAAATTCAACTGTGGCTGTGGAGTCTTTGCTGATTCCACTGCGGCCGTGGGGCTTAGCCCACTGTTGCCTCCACAGCTGGGGCTGTTTCAGCTCAGTACAGCTAGCTGTTGCTGGAGTTCACTGGCAAGGGCCGGTTAACCAATTAACCAGTAAACATACCAGTAAGCATCATGCTTGCCAGCTAACCATTTAACTTCCCTAGAGACCATCATAAGTATCTGTCTGACTTGCTGCAGGCCTCCTGCCTTATAATTTCAGTCAATAAGTCCTGCGTGAAGCCCATTACTTCAGGCAGAATTAAGAACATATCTTTTAAATTATTAAATTTAATGAGAATCAGACATCCAAATCCCTTAGGCATCTTTGAACATTTCAGCCTTAAGTTTGAAATGCATCATATGATACGATATATAACTATATGATGGCACATTTGTCAACACTGACGCAATTAGTAAGAGGCGCTGTTAGCATTCTATGTTTTTCCACTCATTTGTGGAGACCTACTTGATATTAAAGCCAACTGTTTCCCACATAAAACAAGCTGACTATATCCAGTCTGCCACAGGTACCCCATTTCCAGAAATCACAATAAGATTTCATGCATTGAAAGACTAGAAATGACAAAGAGTTTGTTGTTTGTGACATCCCCTGGGCTATAAAGGCATGAAAACAGCACATCAGCCTGTAATCATCTAGGTCAAGATATTCCAGGCTGCCATGAACATAGTAACAGTTTACAGGTACAGTATAATGGCATATCAGAACTAGAATTTCAGAATAATAAATAACACCTACTGAGCTACATTTGCATACAAAATGCTTCGGTCCAGTGTAAAAGAAGTCAGTCAGAGATGGGTGCAATTATGTTCTATAATAAGAAATGTGATTCTTCTTACAAATTGTATTCTGCTTGTTTTAAAACAGTATGTTTTGGGCCTGATTTTTATGTAATAAAGCCCTTTGACATCACTCTGGTCGTGTAAAGGTGCCTGTGGAAAATTTAGTTATTTGCACACACTTTTAAGCTCTTTGTTTTTCAGAGAGACATAAAAATAATGGCTCAGGGATCTGGTTTGTCAATCTCTATGCACTCTGGAAATGTACACTTCTACACCAAGCAACAGGATAGAACAGAATTTATACATAAAATATGAAGCACAGGAGATTGAGGCTCTTTGATCAGGTATCCAGTGTTTGGATCATTTCCAAACATGTTTATTCTTCTGAAACAAGGATGGCTTCAAAAGGATTTTCACAGCAGCCCTGCCATGAGCTTGGCAGTAATTATGCAGCCTCTCACAACTGCAATCAGTCAGAAGTGCATTCCATAAGTGAGCAAAAGTGAAAGGGCTAACTCCCTTCCTACCTCCTTTGGATACCAAATACCAGATAGGAAAAAAAAAGCAGGTATCACTACGCAGAATGTATGCACTATAATTTCCTGAGGATATCAGGTCTATTATGATAATCCAAGCCAATTAACAGAATCAGAACAATTGGGTGGACCTTGATTTGTTGAACTGGATGCTTTTGCTTGATGCAGTTTTGGCATAATGCTAAATACAACAAGCTAGTCAGAATATAAACACACTTTTACTTTCCCGTTTTGAGGATGGGCAGACACATTCAGACTTTTGTTGGTTTCATTGCTTGAATCTAAACGTACTAAGCCTTTAGAACATATCATAAGTATGGCCATACTGGGTCAGATCGAAGGTCCATCTAGCCTGGTATCCTGTCTTCCAACAGTGGTCAATGTCAGGTGCTTCAGAAGAAATGAATAGAGCAGGTAATTATCACGTGCAGGCCCATATGTGAGGGGGGGATGTGAAAGCACCCGCATGGTCCCCAAGTAAGCATGCTCCAGCGGCTGGGGAAGACAGGAGCAGTGTACTGCCCGAGCCTCCCTCCCCTATGCGCTGGCCGGCCGGGGAAGGCTGGGGCTGATTTCCCTGCTTACTTGGGGGTGCAGTCACATCCTTGCGGTCCATGTGTACCAAAAAAGCACCCCCATACAGAAATTTCCGCATATGGGCCTCAAGTGATCCATATCCTGTTGTCCATTCCATACTTCCAGCTAACAGAGGCTAGGGAGACCGTCCCTGCCCACCCTGGCTAATAGGATGAATCTATCCTCCATGAGACTTTGCTGAGACTTGAAAAAGTTTGTTGTTTTATATTCCAAGCAGAGGCATCATAGTACAGTGGATAGGTACTGGACTGGGGGTCAGGAGATGTGGGCTCTCTTTCCAGCTCTTATGGACGAGTCAGTCCATGTAGTTGTGCCTCTATTTCTCCTTCCCCTCCATTGTCTTGACTATTTAATCTAAGTTCTTATGGAAAAATACTGTTTTGTATTATGGGTGGCACATTGGGGCAGGGCAAGAGTGTTTGGGTCGGCGTCCTTAGACAGTAGGCAACCCTGTTGGAGGTCAGAGAGGTACATATAGGAGCTGGTTCTCTGTCTCATGGCCTGGAGTCCGAAATCGTGGCATTTGGTTCATTTTGGAAAGATGTGGAGGAAACTCCTTGAGGTGAATTTTACAGAATTTCCACTGTTCTCCAACCCCTCTCGTGGATCTGTCTGGGAGGATAGAGAGAGGGGGAATGACCCCGCCTTTTAGTAACTCGTCTTGAGGAATTCCTGCCTTCGGAAAGGATCTTCCTGTCAGATACAAGTAGGTCTGTCAACGTTGCTTTTGGCCTTTTTGATTTTCTCACTGTTGAGGATGCAATAGATTTAAATTCTGTCAGCAGCGACTGGATGCCTGGTTTGGCCGGCGCAATGTTCACTGAACGTAATGCTTTCACCCTCAAGGGACTCATCCAGACAAGTCTACCATTGATCCTGATGTTTCCTTCTGCTGCCATTTCAGCTGCCCCAGCAAATTAAAGTGGCTGTTTTTCTCCAATTGAAACAAATTTCTCTTTCTCTAGTAAATCAAATGGAGGAGTGGAATTTTGATTTGGTTTCTTCAGTCTTTTAAAAAAATGTGTCCTGAAGTTTAAAAACAAAACACAACACTTTTTTACTAGTATAAGAAAGGAGTTTCAAACAGTTTGCAAATACATTTTCACTTGAGCATTATTTCTACAATCTGAAAGGTGCAAGCCATGTCTCTCTCGCCCCAGTACTGAACTGGTTAGATGATCGACAGCTTTTCTGTGGCTTTCCTCTGGATTAGAATCCCTCACTGAAGTCTGATACTGTGGTAGAGGTTTCTTTCCTCTTGTTGCAGAGAAGGGAGAGTCTGCCATTGAGTTTCACACACACAAGCTGATGCCACCTGCATGAATTCAAATGTCCAGTTTTCTTTGGATATTGCTATTTTCTTTTTAATGATCTCTGAAATTCAAACCCTTCCTCCTGCTCCTCAGCCACCCGTGGCTTCTCTGTGAGACTGCAGGAAGCACAGAGAGGGTTTCCGGCTTCACTTCTGCCAGCCGAGGTTTAGGAAAAAGACACAATTAAAAACTGACTCCAATCCAAAGCCCAGGCAGCTGGCACATATCAGGCTTATAAAGAGCTTTTGTTCCTGAAAAAGAAACCCCCCAAAAACAGTGTTTGTAGTGCTGCAGGCGATGCACTTTTATGTTCTTTTATTGTCATGGTAACCAAGGATGCATCTGAAATAAAAGTGACCAAGCATCTAAATATACTGATGCTCCCACCCTAAAAGGGGTTCCAAGATCCCTCCTTGCTCTTCCAGTGTAAAGAAGGTGGAAAGCCAGGCCAGCAAAGTAGACTCAACAAGAAATCTGAGAGAGAAAGCATTTGTGTGATTGCTAGTAAAAGGAGTATCTCCTGCCTCCTTGCTGAGTGTGAGTAAAGGACTAACCAGCTTCATTTATTTTGCTCTGCAGTTTATGACCAAGAACCCCAACCTGCGTTTGGGCAGCCTGGCTCAGGGTGGAGAGAACGCTATCCTAAGGCACCCCTACTTTAAAGAATTGGACTGGGACCTCCTGAACCAGCGCCAGATGGAACCGCCCTTCAGACCTCGAATTGTGAGTGACAGGGAGTGGGCACGAGTCTCTCCTTTTGCTGAACTCTTTCACTAACTGGGGAGAAGGAGGCAGTGGAAGGGCAGCTTTATGATTAAGGCACTGGACTGGAAATTAAGGGAAGTGGGCTCAAATCACAGCCGTCCCTGATACTCGGCCTTTGTTTTGGCTAACGAGCAGTTTGAGATTTCGCCATCCAGAAAGCTGAGATTTAAAATCTCATGGGTTGTGCCAGGTCTGAGAGACTTGTCATTGAAATCACGGGATGGGGAGGGTTCCAAGGCTCTCAGCCCCCAGGAGTCGATAATAAAATGCCCTTTCGAAACACAAGCAGGAGGGAGCACTCTGAATCCCGCTCTAAACATGCACGTGTTCTTGGACGGTATAAAGTGACCGTTCAGTAGGGCCTACTGAATTCCTCTTGCTAGAGTGGCTCTGGGAAAATAAACTCTTGTGGTAATGAAACTTGCTCTTCTGGAGACAGGAAAAAACAGCATTGTGTCAAAATGTGCCACAAGACTACTTGGTTGGGTCTCTTTTGAGAACAGTCCTACTTTGTGCTGAGTGGATAGGAATCCAGCACCTCGAGACAGGGTATTTATTCCCCTGTGGCATAACTAATTCATTGTGGTACAAGTAAAATGGCTTTTTGGACAAAGGAGAATATCCCCCAACTGGGCAGCTTCAGATGCCGCACAGATAAGGAGAGATTGTGTAGATTCAGCTAATTGGAAACAGTGTGTATAATTGCTGTGAATGGCAGTGTGTACAGTCTGGCACTTAAAGTAAGGGATTACTGCTTCCTGGGGTCTGCCTTGCAGCAACAGAGCAAGCAAAACTGCAGCTGATGTCAGCTAAATTAGTGAGGGGTATGCCTGCAAAAAGCCCAGAGAAGCTAACAAGGAAAGGAAGGGCTAGAAAGGGCTACGCAGGGGCACTCACATCTCACAGGAAGCAGCCCAAAGTGAGTTACAAAACAACTGAGCACTCCATGGAGCCAGTCATGCATCTCATTTAAGACAAGGATGAGTTACGAAGAGAATAGAAAAATGATGGTGCAAGTGTTTGACTTAAGGTTGCCAGATGCTTTCACCCCAAATTCCGAACATGGCAGGGAAAAAAATTGGTTGACCAAAAAAAACAGGGGACCAACCAAAGTTGTTGAGCAACCTTGTATTTTCTAGTTTTTGTTTTTTTTTAAACCGGACAGGGGCCATGAATAACGGAGTGTCCAGGCAAAAACCGGACACCTGGCGACCTTAGTTTGACCTCCTCTCTTTATCTTTTTGTTTGGCAGAAATCCAGAGAAGATGTCAGTAATTTTGATCCTGATTTTGTAAAAGAAGAACCAGCTCTAACTCCCGTCGAAGAAGGGATTCTTGCCATGATTAATCAAGAAGAATTTAGAAACTTTTCATACACTGATCCAGAATTACAGCCATAGTCTCATGGAAAAAGTTGTGCAAGGTAATGATAGAACATGACCGAAGAAGTGAAAATTGGAATGACCAGGAATTTCATTCTCAAGGAATACACTGAAACAGCCTTATTATGCAACAGCACCGACAACAACGTTACCTTAATGTGAAATTAGGAAAAAAAAACCTCCAGGATTTGTGCAGCTCTGATATCAAATATTTAGAGGGCTGGAATAAACATGGTATCAAAACTAGTCAATGCGGACGGACCGTTTAATGCCGAGATATTTGGTTCAGCACAAATCTGACTAGTTGCAATTTGCAATGAGTTTGAGGAATTGGTGTGAGCACGACATGAGCATGGTCTTGCAGCTCTGAGCCAAACAGACATTTTGCAATATTGCCCTTTGCAAGACTCAGCTTTGAGGGATCCAGTGCTGCTTCCTCTTTGGAGACATGGGAAAGAACTAGCCTCCACTGAGCTCATTGAGCAAGATGGTCCATGTGGCGCTACCTGTTTCTGAAGTATTTATTTCTATCCTAACAACAAATGGCTCTTTGAACCTGTTTTGGGCTTCCATGTAAAATATTTCACTGTGCAAACTAGCAAAAGCAAAAAAGTGTCACACACACCCCTCCCCTCTCCCCGTCTTCCAAAACGGAGCGAAGCCACTTGTAAGCTCAGTGTTTTAGTATTTGTGTGATATGAAATGTTTTAGCATTTGCATTCTGTGAAATGCTCTTTTGCATCATGCACCCTTTCTCTGCGTACCAGCTGTTTTCAACTAACATAATGTGCGTGAAATCTTGCCATTTACTTAGACAGATTGTATTTAATTATGTTATACAGAGCCCCTTTTGTGAATTCACTGGCTCATTAAAACATTGATGGAAAATAGTAGATCTTAAATTATTTGTGGTGTTATTGTGATGGGAGCGGCAAAACGGGCAAGCTGTTTGAAAGTAGAATTGTCAAATAAACAATGACATAAAAGGACAATACTCTTCCCTTTTGAAGGATACATCTTCATTGAGACTGAAGGAGAGAATTGACCTAGTTTGGTTTGGATTGAAGAATTTATTGAGAGGAGATACCTTATCAATTTTAGCATTAAATGCATGAGTCATAGTCAAGCTGATACAGTGCTGGAAGCAGCTTCTATTAATCAGTCACTCTGTTAGGAAATTCAGACGTGCTTTACCCTGCACTTCAGGAAGCTGGACAGATTCCATGTCCATTTCCAATGCTGACTTCTTTAGCAATTGCTAGATTTCAGGCTACATATCAGGGTTAGAATCTTTTTTCTTGAGGATTTGCCTACCTTTTGGGCAGATACCAGTTAGTGGGAAGGGGAAGTATGTTTTAAAAAGCTTGCAAGGCTACTCATGTCTTTGTATTATGAGTCACAAGTTTTAAACTGAAAAAAGGGTCATCCAGCAGGGACTGTCTGTGTTCTCATGTCTGGTCTACAGACTGACACTGTACCTGATGTTAGTTAGGGTTGTACCTTTTTTTCCTCCTTGCTGATAGTCGCACTAATGTAACCCTTAGTATGGATGCAATTCTTCCAGTATAAAAGTTCTTCCTGTACAGGAATAAATTATACAGATCTAAGCTCTTATATACCAATATAACTGCATTCATACTTGGGGGGTTGTGCTACTTTAATTATGCTGGTGTCGTTACAGTGCTACAAGGTGGGTGTGTAGACAAGGTTTTACAGTCCTATCCAAAGCCTATGAAGTCCAGTGGTGTCCTTTCTTTGACCTCCGTGGTCATTGGATCCAGGCCACATCCACCACAGCAGCATCTGAGCAGTGTTAAAATTGGAGATTCTCTTTCTAACAGACGCTGCAGGCACCAAATCAATAAAAAAGATCCATAAACTTTACTTTCCGCTCTGGAAGGAGGGCTTCAGCAGGCAGCTTGTGGCACACGGTCTGTAGGCAGGGCCTTTGGCCGCTAGTCCCACTGGAGATAATTGTAGAGTAACCTCCTGGGAAAATCTGCGCCGGGAGGGTGATTCATGACATGGCTCCTTCCCCAGCTCACTTTTATTGCTAGGACTGCACCGCTGAACATTCACGGGCCTCCTCAGCGCTGTCCCCAGGGGAGGTGAGTGCAAAGTCCAGGGCAATCCAGCCCCTGTTCCACCCTTTCCACCAAGTCCTGCCCCTGCTCCGTCCCCTCCCACCTCCATTGTGCCCTCTCCCTCGAGTGACATGACCTGAGGGATGACTGGGGGGCCTGGCACTGACCATAGGAATCAGCCCTGCTCCCCTCCACAGCAGCAAGAAGCAGAGCAACCCAGCCCCAGCCAGCTGCGCTCCCCCGAACCTAGTTCCCAGCCACATCGCTCAGCGGAGCATAGTACACTGGCCAGGGCAGACTGCTTCTCACCGCCACGGGGAAGTGGAATGACGCAGCTGAGTCACTCTGCTTCCCACAGCTTCCGCCACCACTAGTGAGTGCGAGGGCAGACCTGGCCCCTGCAGCCAGCGCCAGGCCCCCCAGTAATTCTCCAGGCCACCCTAGGCTTTCTGGGGGCCCTTAAAGCAGGGATTGACCCCAGACTATCCTATAGATGAGATGGCTCTGGGCCTCGTGGGATGATTAGAGCTGCCAAATCACCCGTAAACATCAAACCTTACTATTGTATCGCTGTGTTAACAGGACCCCAGCCTTGGTACAGTAGCTGGGGATGCCACTGATTGTAAGAAGAATGTGGAAAATCCAACTTATATTGATGTACCCTCTTGAAATCTGTAGTCTGAGAGCATTGGCTATGAATGCAAGGAACAGGCCATTGTGACATGGTTTCCGATGTTCATTTCACAAAAATCTCTGCTAATGAGGGAATAGGAGTATCTCTAAGAGCATTTCGCACCATCCTGGAGAGAGACCTGCAGGAAAATTTCTCCCCTTGTACAGCCAGTTTTTGGTTGGTCATTCACCGTGGGGTAACTTTTTTCGTTGGATAAATAAAGTATCATGGGTGAAATCCTGGCCCCATGGATGTTAGTGGCAATTTTGCCATTAATGTCCGAGGAGCCAGGAATTCACCTCATAAACCTTTTACATTATCCTCCTCATTGTAAAATCATGTCTGTGCAGATCTATTGCCTGGGCTGGAAATTCCATGGTAATTTGCAGATCTGCTGTGCAGCATAAAATAATCTTACTGGTTTTCACAATTCAGAATAACCATTCATCTCTGCTGGCTTCCTGGCACTAAAATGGCAGCTAAACCATCATTTTTGCCAGTCAGCAGATGCTGAATCAGCCACACATTTGGCCAGATTCCCCACATTCTGCCATTCTTTTAGAAGGAATTAACATTTTCCTTTCACTCCTTCAAGACCACGTAATCTGCAGAATGAATATCGACTCCTTAGAAAGTATCTGTGAAATAATTTTGGTTTTTGCAAATACTGATCTAGTGTTTAGGTGCTATTGAATATGCAAATAAAAGATTGGTTTTTAAAACAAAGCGTCCATCTGAAAAAACTCCTGCATGAGTTCCTCTGCCTATTATTTTGACAGCATGACTAACTTGGGTGGATACGATTAGAGGGTTTTAGTATATTAATTTTAGACCTTGCATTGAGAGTGTATTAAACTAGCAACCACTGGTTTGCAAAGATTAAAGTATAGAAAGCTCAAGTTCTCTCCAGTATGAACATTGGTCATGGAGCAAATTATTATTAGGCAACTTTCTCCTAAAAAGGTAAATGCATTAAAAAGAAACGTCTCTTTGAAGTTTCAGCTCTGAATTCTTGTTCCTTTCATTTGCAAAGAGATGCATGAGATTTAGCCATAAAATTCAATGGGCTAAATCTTATACAAGGCCTTTGAAAGTTTAGGGGAAGAGGCAATGCAAAGAAGGCAAATGGTTCAAAATATATGACAAGTAGACTGTTAGAGGAATCGCTTTAATGCAACAGCTTGGTAAGCAATAAAAAACATTGTCACTAGCCTCAAAATATTCCAAAGAATTTAATATTAAAATAAAATTTAGCAATTGTGTATAGATGCTTTACATAAGTTATAAAATATCACATCATGTTTTCACTCATTTTCTTCAACTGCAGCACAAGCAACAGTTGTGTACAGTTGAGGTTGCCGAGGCATATCTACCCTAATCTCCTCCTTACCTTCTATAACATTCAAATTTCAGGCTGAAATTTACATATTTTTTTCAAGCTTGGGAGAAAGCAATTTTGAGAACAAGGGCATGAACAAGGAATAAAGTATTGTTTTCCTATTGCAAAAATATCTCAAAATAAGAACTCAGAATTACAAAGCTCTTATAGAATCAAAGTACCTTTCACCATATTGATGATCCTTGCAATTTTATTGAGAGTTTCACAATATTTGTTGATTTATTTAAAGCTGATGCTCCTGGAGTCATGGGATCAGGTAAGATTATCAGGTTTGTTTGGTTTTTTAAGTTTCTGAGTCCTTGTGATTGCAGAGGAAAGCTGGGGAGAGGGGGAGATCTTCCCAAACAGCTCAGAAACCAGAAGTCAAAATAAAAAACTCAGAATGATTCTGTGATTTTTTTTTTTTTGAGTCAGCCTGGTGATTTGGGGGCGGGAGGGAGATCTGGCTCTTTCTTTGTTTGATCATCTGTGTTGCAAATACTGCTTTTGTTACCTTGACAAAAATTCTGTTGTTTTAGCCAAGTTATACGGGTAGACAATTGTAGTGCATGTGGCACCATAGTAAAAAAATGTAACAAACCCTACCTTGTTTGGTACGGGTCACCGATGTTAAGGGAGCTCAGTATTTTTGCAGGAAAGCCACCAAAAGATCCTTTTTCCTACAAGGCTCAAAAACTATAGATGTAGCCAAAGAGTGGAATGTACCTGCAATGAGAGAGTTGGTTTTGTATATTGTGAAGCTTACAACCTCCATACGGAGAATGAGGCCTGGGCTACCGGCTGGTTGTTAATGCACCTGACAATGGACAAGGCAGAGGGTTTACCAGAGACATCCTGTCTGTTCTTGCTTACCAGTCATGGAATGTTACAGTTTTGTCATTTCTTGGGATCTGCTAGTTTTATTGATGTTTCTTATTTTTCTTAGAACCCCAGCTCCTGCAGATGTGTCAGTAAGAGAATCTTAGCTTTCATGTTTAACAAAACCATCATTTTGGAGCCCTTATGATTGGATTAAAAAAATGGGATTTGGGTGCATCTTAAAGACTCAAAAAGCAGAAGGCCAGTAAAAAGAAATCATGAAATTTAACCAAAGAACCTGTTTGGCAGGGAGGGAACTGATTCATGATCTTTGAACGCTTTTGATTGGTCCTACTATTGTTGCTAATGCACTCACTTTGAACTTACGTCGCATTGCTGCTAACTTAAGTGCCATGCCTTGGCATGTATTTTCTGCTTGAAGCATCAGGCACTGTTTTCCTCATTATGGCACACAAACCTGGTTTTATTTTTCGCACTGTGTAACAGAAGGTGCTGGTCCTTTAAGCACAGCCCTGTTCCAGTTCAGCCCTGAGCCAAGGAATTGTGGGGTTTGTCATCTCCACAGCTGATAAGAATAAGAGCTGTCCCGTCAACAGATGCTGGGAGCAAGTGAGGGGAGATAGAAAAACTGCATTCACTCAGAACAAGCAGAAAGCAGGAAATGAGCCAGACCTCTGGGCCTTGCTACTTGGAGCCCTGGAAGAAGCTTGAACAAAAGAGGTAGCCTTGAGAAAACAGAAGTAGGAGAAACAGGGGTCAGATCTGATGTTTTGGGCCCCCTGAATGAACATTTTCCAAAGCCCATCAGTGATTTTGCTGTGTTCCCAAACTGGGGGGCATGCCCTCGCGCGCTCTCACACACACACACACACACACACACACACACACACACACACTCAGAGTCAATCACAAGTGGTTTTTTTCTTTCTTTCTTTTTGCTGAACAGGTTTTGCTGTTTTGGGGGGGTGAGGGTTTCTCAAAAATCAAAAAGGGCGTGTGATGGCACACAGTTTGGGAACCACTGCCCTAGATAGGAGTGAAGACAGTGACCCTGATAAAAAGAGAAGATGGAGATTTTCAAGAGGTTTAACTCTTCAGTTGGAGGGTTAATTACCCAACTGACAAAGCTGCCTTCCTCAATTGTGGGATTGTGGCTTGTGGGGCCTCTAATAAGGAGTTCTTAAATTATTCCCAATTATCATTTGTTGCCAGGTGGGGAGGCGTTTTCTCTCTCGAGGCTCTCGACTTCTACGCAGACCTTGAGAGTGCCACCCAGAAAAGCTACAGACTGGGTTTGGTGGCAAAAACACTCAGCTAGGTTTATTGTTGACAAACCACGGTCCAGCTGCCCCATAACTGCTCCAGATACAATAATGCATGTATGCCCACGATTAACAGACCAGCTCCGTCAGCCACAGGATTTTCTGCAGTTGCCCTTTTAATCAATTTTTATGCATTGATTCACACAAGTTACATATTACACTCCGGTCGTGATTAGTTACCAAACTCCTTTGTGTTTGCTAGTTTGAAAGAAACATCCTCCTCTGTTATCCTGTCCTTGTCTTACCAGGATCAGTATGTTCCTGTGCTATCTCCCAGAACTGTGTCTATATGAACAGCCAGTACTTAGGAGAGCTTGTGTTTCAGCAACACTTGCAAACCATGGCCAACTTCCTGTACTGGATAGTGCTCTTGTAAGCAAATGTCTGCTTTATGACAGGGCCTGACTGTCTCATAGCATGGGGTGGCTTTGCAGACTGGTTCAGGCTTCTGGGTTGGCACCAGGCACCATGCTCGCTTGCTTGCCCTCCACTATGTCAGTCACATTTTTCTGATTAAATTCTCCCTCCTCCCCCAGCTAATCTGGCTCTTTATTATTATTGACTTTGTGAAATTGCCCCTATTAAAGCACCAAGTAAGTATATTATTAGCCTAGACTTTAGTCTGCTTGCACATTATGAATGTGATCCTGTCACGATCGCTTGTACCCAGGGGGCCCAGCAGACTTGCCAGGCCCTTGGGAAAAGTGGGGAAGGGGCAACTTTGCACGCCTGGAAATGGCAGGACTGGGACAGCCAGCCCTCCACACTATCTGGAGCACACCAGGCCAGTGCCCCCCAGCACTCCAGTTGTAAGCCCTCAGCACTATCTGGAGCACACCAGGCCAGTCCCCCCCAGCACTCCAGTTGCAATGTAAAGGGCCCAGGGCTCCTGCTGCTCCTGCAGTAGTGACAACCAGGAGCCCCATGTCCTTTTGAATCTCCTGCCCCCAAGGCAGCAGCTCTCTTCTCCCTCTTCCATTGGCGGCCCTACTTGTATGTAAGGTACCTTACATTTTTAAGCTCCAACCTCCCAATCAAGCCCCCGCCTCAGCCATCCCTCTACTCCCCAGGGATTCTTGTCGAGGCGTCCAGGAGTTTTTGCCTTGGAGCAGTGCCTGGGTCAGTTACTAAAGGGTTAGGCAGTGAAATTCTGGGAATTTTTAAGGTATCTGCACCAGTGACTTAAGAGTTTAAATGCTTAAGCAGACTATGATTTATACCCATTGCAGATCCTGGACTGAGTGCAACTGACTCATAGCCTAGTGTTTACTCTTGGCTCTAGGATGTCCCTTGTAATTGACTAAGTCTAGATCCCCAAAAGTAAATGAAGTTCCTAAATCCCAATGACTTCAGTAGAAGTTAGGCACCTCAACAGCTTTGAGGATCTGGGCCATAGAGCCTGGTTTTCAGAGTTGCTGAGTCCCCGCGGCTGCCATTGATTTCCCCTGGAGTTTTGGGGGCTGGGGTCCTCTGAAACCAAGCTGAGGCTGAGAGTATGAAACAGAAGGGAATTTGCTGGGTTCAATGCCAAGCCACTTTACTCACTTGGATAATCCAGAGCCTTTAGACAGCAGTAGGGGAGCTGAATTTGACCTTTAGTGAACAACCAGCTCTGCCAGCAGAGGGTTCATTTGAATGGGGGTCATCTGA